GGGACGGCTCTGCTGTGACTCATCCCCGCGCTCCGGTGGGGAATGCACGTGACCAAACAGCCTCCACGAAAAAGCTACTTGACCTCGTCTCAGAGGCCACACAGATTCGCCCGTGGCAAGAGGCCGGGGCACAATCAGAAAGATTTAGGGCTTGAAGCATCACACCGGGGTGTCTGAACCCCAGTGACTGACCTGGTCATGTGGAGCACTGCGTGTTCAATCCACAGCAGATGTAACACCCGCCCAACTGTGAGAAGACGCAGCAGTAACTCGGTCATAAATGTCTTATCTCTGGTCTCTGAAAAGACAGAATATCTATTAAAGTTCCTGGCTCATGCTCGGGCCTTCATGGGTGTTTGCAGAAAGTATCGTTGCTGGGGTGAGCCCGGCCAGAAAAGATCTCGTCTCCCTCCCCGACTCATAAGGAGCTAGTGAATTCGGTGGAAGGAAAGAGTTCACTGCTTTTTGGACATCGTGATAATTTTTCGTGTTGGTGGCGCCTTCCTGTTTACAGAGGGCTCCTCTGTCGAGAGCTCATTGTGTTTGTGAACCACACCGTGGAGGTACACACAGAACGCAGCCCGGCAGGCTCGGAGATGGCCGGTGGTCTTCACAGTCACACGGCCGGGACAGGCAAGGAGGCCCAAGGCTGGTCATCTTCTCGGGACACGGGAGCCGAAATCCCCCCGAGAGCTGGTCTACTTGGTTTTTCGGCGTTTCCAGGGATTCTATGGATGCTACATAGCAATGAGGAGGAGATGGCTGGCAAACACATCACGTAGGACAGGGATGGCAGATGGACAAGCGAGCCACCACTCCTTGGGGCTGAAAGGAAAGGGCGAACTAGGCTGGAGGGCAGAGGCCCGGAGCCCGCAGGGAAGGAGCTCCACCGGCTGGGGAGGAAGGAGTGCAGGTTTGGAGGTGCGGTCTGGCTTTGCCGCAGGGTCCTCAGCTGTCCACTGGAGCGACGTGACAGTCTCTAAGATTGGTGCAAGGACTGAGGGGGCCCTTGGGTGCTGCATGCCCAGCAGAGTGCCTGGAACGGTGGAAAGCGCTCATGAGAAGCTATGTTTTAACCGCTCCTGCCCTCCTTCTTTCTAGTTCGTCCCGTCACGGCCATGTTCTCCACTGCCGTTTGCTCAGGGAAGTTCAGGCTCTTCTCCCAGTAACTGAGGACTCAGACCCTCTGGGAGGAAGCAGAGAGACGCCCCACGGCACTCGGGGTCAGCCCGCGTGGGGAAGGGATGATACGTTCTTTTTAGTTGAGTAGTGAAAAGTCAATGCTGATTGGCTCTGCTGATTGTCCCCTTTCTGCAAAAGCAATTCATCCACCCATTCCATTGGTCACACAGACATTTCCCCCCCATGACCATGTACTGAGCCAAGTGCGTGGACGGGGCCATCTGCGAAGCTGGAGAGAGTGGGGCCACTCCCGGGAGCCGCAGGTCAGAAGTGAGCAGGAAGGACTTGTACTGAGAGTGGGCTGCCCGTCTGGAAAGCACGGGAGCGAGAGTGCCAGCTGATGACACAAGAAACGGAAGGGGGATTATGTGAGTCTCAAAGGCAGACCTGCGACCAGGGTCCCAGTTACTCAGCCAAACCAGACGGCATGGCCCCGATCTGGCCCCCCCGCAGGCGGGGCGAGGTTAGAATTTGGAGGTCCGCACGGGTAGCAAGCCGAGGCCCGGGTGTGGCGAGGAGTGGGTGCTCATTGGTCGAGGCCTCTGTCACGGTGGCTGAGGGGACAGGCACCCGAGTTGAACATCGCAATCCAAGTGCCACGTCACAGGCTGGCCCCAAGAGGCTGAGACATGGGGCCAGAACCAGGGGTAGGTCAGGGGCCCATCCAGCTCCCCACCCCCGGGGCACCCTGGGAGGGGTTGTGCCCCAGCCCGGGCCGCCACCCGGAGCCTCTGGGCAGGCCCAGGCGAGCAGACAGGTGCTTCCTCTCTCGGCAAAGCGCCGGCCCTCGGGGACTAGACCCTCCCGCCGGAGACCCTGAAGAGAACCCGTTGGCTCTCACGCATCCAGATTTATTCTCGGCCCTCCTAAGAAATGAGGGGTACATATGAACTAAGAAGAGGTTCAGGTTGAAAAGCTCTGGATTTCTCACCCCCTGTGAAAGCTGCTGGCCCATTCACCGCGTCTGCCGGGCACCAGAGGCTTACTGGACCCCAGGAACCCATCGCGGTGGCCGCAGGGGACCCCTCTGCATGCCCCCAGCACCCTCCTCTTATCTTCTGCTGCATCCTTCAGTGTGCACCTGCGCGACCAGGCAAAATACATTCTTCACAGTTTGTCCAGTTTAAACCAGCGCTTGCCGTGGGGGACTGTGGATTACAAATCTGGGCCTCGCACAAAATGTTCCCAGTGCGCTCGTGGGGGTCGGGGGTGAGGAGGGGGAGACGCCAGTGGGGAGAGAGGTCAGGAGTGTGGACGGAGCTCTGCGTCGGGACTTTAGAGTGCCGAACTCCTTTCCGGTCTTTGTCCTGCTGCTCTATTAACTGGGCCTGGGTCGGTCTCAGTACTGTCGACTGTTAAACAGAAATAATACCTGAGTTTTTTACTGGAGCCTGACAATGAGCTATAATGATGACAGAATACAGGTGGAAGGATTTGGAAACCAGAAAGTGCTCAACTGTTGCATTCAAAAGCGTTTGCCGGTATCTGCACGTCGGTAGCTACCTGAATGCAACAGGCCAGGCGGTCACCGACGGGCACGAAGGGCCATCGCAGCCGAGTCACCGGAGCCCCGGATGCCTCGAGGGTGTGGCTGCGCCTCAGCTCTCCAGAAAGAAGGAAGCAGAGTGGGGGGACCCGATAGAGGAGGGGGGCTAGAGCCTGGGAGAGAAGCCAAGGCAGGAAGGAGGCGGCAGCTCCCTCCGGTTCACCAGGCAGAGATCGCCCGCAGGAAGCAGGGCGGCCGGGGGTCCGGAATCACAGACGGGAGCCTGGAGAGCAGGGGGCGTAGACCGTCAGGGAGAGAACTGCCAGCCACCTCTGCTCAGGCGGCGTCCCTGGACCCCTTCCACACCAGGTCCCCTCGCCAGACCAGGAGCAAAAGATGCCGGAGGGGACACTCAGCCCTCTGCAAGGAAGTGTGCAGTCAAAGACTGGCTCTCCCACCTGAGCATGAGACCGGGCGGTCTACCTGCCTGCCTGCCTGCGGGGCTTCCTGGGCTCCCCCTGCAGAGTTGCTGCTCCAGTGGCTCGGGGGTGGGGCCCTCTCCCAGGGCATTTGCATGTCTACCAAGTCCCCAGGTGCGGTTCCTCTGCGGCCACGGGGGGAGACTCTTAGAGCCGAGCTCACTGTGGCCGTTGTCAGGAGCTCCTGACCACGAAGAACGGATGAGCGGCAGAAGCCTGTCCCGAGAGCCCGGCCTCTGGCTCACCACAGCAGGTGTCCCGGCCCGGCAGGCAGACCCACCCGGGGCCGAGCCCAGCCCGGGGAGGGGGGGGGGAAGTCCTGGAGTGGGTGGGTGGCGCCGCTGCTGTCCTCTCCAACACCTGTCACTCTTGCACATGGACAGAGCACCGGGGCCCTCTCCACTTCTGGTGGTTCTGACACTCAGGGTGCTCGGGACCGGTGGAGAACTAACTGCCACCGGGGCACCCAACGAGGGGTGTTGTTCTTTTTTGGATATTTGCAAATGGAAAAACATCTGCTGTATCATGCTGAGTCTCTTCCCGCACGCGGTGTCTGCCTTTCTTCTAGTCTGGGTAGGGGTGAAGGTTACTGGGTTACATTGTCCCACTTTCTGTGGTTCTTCTGCACTAGTTGTATGCCTTACCCGGGAGGAAGTCGGGGTGGCTGGTTGACTACCCCTTCTGGGAAACATCTGAGAAACAGGGCTGATAACGCCTGCAGGTTCTTTCTCCCCTCCCCTTTCGTCCTATCCTCTCCTCCCGGTAAGCCCCACATTCTTCACTCACTGCGGTCTAAACGCTCTGCTGGTGGGGACAGAGGTGACGCAGAATAGAAGGGGAAGTCAGCTGTTTAGCACAGAGGGCGGGGCGCAGCTGGGTACGGCCGGGGCGGGGAAGTCGCTCTGCACCAACGCTTTCTATGGCCGCCTGTCGGACTCGTCTGGGAGCTTTGTGTAACTGACTGCTCACGCTCAGGACAGGAGATCCTGATTTCAGCTGATCTTGGATGGGACCCAGGGCAGTAGACACTTTGAATCTCCTCAGGGCACTCTGATGGGGAGCCAGAGCTGAGATTCACGGTTCTAAACCAACTGTTCCCATGACGCCTGGGTACGGAGTACAGCTGAGTTTTCCTGTAGCTTCCTTTTAACTACCCCGAGCTACAGTAAAGCAGGCTACAGGCTGCCACCTATGGGGTAGGTGAGAGGCCGATGCCACAGCCGTAAGTGTAGGCAGTAAGTGTAGGAAGTAGATAACCTAGGGCCAGGTGGGCAAGATAAAAAGTGCGAGTTCAAAAGGCAGCAACAAGTCCTTAGGATATGGCCTGGCTGGGTGGCTCGGTTGGTTGGAGCGTTGTCCTATACATCATAAGGTTGTGGGTTCGATCCCCATTGGATGTGCGTAAGGAAGGCAACCAATCAATGTTTCTCTAGCACACTGATGTTTTTCTTTTTCTCTAAAATCAACGAGCATATCCTCGGGTGAGGATTTAAAAAAAAATCTCCAGGTGTGGGACCAATTCAAGAGCATGAACCAAAGCGTCAGTGTCAAGAGGGCCAACTACCAGTGTCAGATTACCCCAGACCTGTGGAGCCAGTGCAGGGATAAAGCTTCATTCTAAAACCGGCCCAAGTCAGGAACCCGCGCGTCCCATGTCCCAGTGGGACTGAATTCACAGCCAGGCTAGGGGAGTACTGAAAGGAGGGAGGTGAAAAGTAGAAAATGCAGAGGAAGTTGTTTGGTTTGCATAAGGTTGAGCAATCAGTTTCATTGTTTTTTTGTTTGTTTTCACCCAACTGACGCAATGGCCATGCTTCCAAGGTCGTATTCACAGAGCCTGAGAGGATGGGGACGCCACCTAACATTGTCTCGGAGCTACAGTCCTTGGGGTAACAGCCCCAGAGCACTCTCAGGGGGAGCTTGCTCAAATGGTGTGTCTGTTTCAGTAGGTCTGGGTGGGGGCCCAAGAGGCCCGAGAATCTGCATTTCTAACCGTCTCCAAGGGACGCCGATCTGAGAACCACGGTTGCGTGACGAGGCCCTAGCAGACAGGGATGGATGGCGTCTACCTGAAGCGCACTGAAGAGCCCCTCCCTGAAACCTGGCTCCGCCCTTCCTCACGTCTCGGAGCATCTAAGGTAGTCTATGATGTTTACGGGAAGGTTTCATCCCCTGAGAAAAGTAACTTCCTGCAGCCGTAAGTAAAAGGACAGCATCATGCGTGCCCTGGACAGTGTCTATGTCCCATCCCCCTCCTGCACTCCCCACGTGCGACCCACTGTGAGGACTGAGGGACCACGGCGAGCCAGGTTTGAGCTGACCTGGTGGGGCAAGAACCACAATAGGTAACCTGGTCCCTGGGGGACCGGACAGCAATTCTTTGATACACGAATGTCAATGAGGTTATCATTTTCTGCCGTAGCAGAAATTTCTTCACCTGACAGTATTCTTAATATACTTTAATTAAGAGGTTAATCTGGTGTAGAAATTGCTTTTCTCTGAAGCCACCTGGAATCAATTTAAAGTCAATTATAAGTGGTTAGCTATTGTTTATGTGGTTAGAGAACAGGGAATACATTTTTGCTCGTCAGGAGCCATGCGAGCAAATTTTGAATGTCGTGATCCGTGGAGAGTCCGAAGAGCTGAGTGTTCTATAATGGGCATAGAGAAGCCATTAGAAAATGTAATCAGTCATATTCGGTGACTTGACCTTGGGACTCGGCTGGAAGAGGGTCGAATCACTTCTGTCCCGTCAGTGCCACCAGGATCACTCTGCTCAAATTAATTGGTCATTTCATTATGCGCTTTCTGAGAGCCTAATATACCCTACTCGATGGAATATAAATTGTAAAAATAATCTGCAAATTACATAACAAGCTTCAGAATACATTTGCCTCCTCTGTCTTTAGCACAGATTGAATCTGACAGCTAGTTTCAGAAGGATCAAAATTGCTGAACTCCTCCAATAGTTTAGCATGCTCGAGTTTTACAAAGAGAAGAAAAAAATCTGTTGCACAACACGTGCCCGAGTCTGAAAATTTGAATCACAACCCATTTTCCATCAGTAAAATGTAGACATAAAAAGAGGCCTGAAGAGGTTTTCTCGGGCTTAAATGCATTATTTTATTCAATTGTTTAGTAAGGTACTTAGCTGCTATTAAAAATTTGGATGCGCGTCAGAGACAAGGAAGCTGTTTTGAATTCCATCCACTTCTGTGCTAAGTACGTGGAACAATTACATGCCTCTAATAGTCCAGCCAGCCCGCTAATGTGATAGCCTGTCGTCTGGTTGAATAACACACAATGACAATGAGTGCTGCTGATTATCGGCCCGGTAAAGGTTTCTTGTCACCCTTTCAGGTGTCAAAATGATGAATCCGATGACCTGCTCCGTTTACGTGTATTCTTCTGGGATCGGGAGACCCCGCCGCCCCGTGTGCACATTCCATGACATCTGGTTAACAAGTGCAGAAAGTCTACCTCTAGAGCTGCCCCCCTGACCCCCCCTCGAGAGTTCTTTTACTTTTTTTCCTTTCGGCTGACACTTCCATATTCAAAATAAACCTTCCAGGATTTTCTTCCGTCAATGCTGAATGGTGAACTATTGAGAGAAGACCCTCTCTTCCCGCCCTGATTGGCACGCTGAGGCAAGACCGCATTTTTGAAGCCTGAAAAGGAAGTGGTATGACACAGGGGCCCCGACTGGTGTTTTGCATGAGACTGGGGGCCCCCCCAGACGCCAGGGTGGTGAGAAAAATGGAGCTGCGAAGTGTTTAGTATCTCTTGGGATTTGAGCCAGGGGTGAGGCTTGTCTGTAGGACCATGTTCATTACCTTGGGCCTCTGATCAGACTGTGTGGGTTCGAATCCTGACTCTGTCCCTTGGGCACAGGTCTTAGCCTCCCAAGCCCCCCTGCCCTCAACTGTCAGAGCGGGAAACAATGCAGATCAGAGGAAGTGACATCCTATGCAGGGGTGTCCAACCTATTGGCGTCTCTGGGCCACACTGGAAGAAAACTCGTCTTGGGCCACGCATTAAATACATTGCGACACGTAATCACCAAAAAAATCTCATAATGTTTTAAGTAAATTCACAATCTTGTGTGGGGCCGCATTCACAGCCATCCTGGGCTGCAGACTGGACGCCCCTGCAGAGGGTCAGGCATGCGCACTTACTAAGCTCCTCGTCGTAATTCAACAAAGCGTCCAGTGATTTGATGTCTCTCTTTTCTGAGCCCTAAAAACAGGGAGGCAGAATTTAAGAAGGATTTTTTTTTCCTGCCTTGCAAAATGTTTGATAGGAAAGTCTTAGGAAGATGCCAAAATGAAGCTGTATTTGATTTTGTCACGTCCCCAGTGCCCGTTGTGACTCCTCCTCCCGGGGTGAGGACAAAGTGAGGGACAGGGAAGGTTTTGGAGAGGGGCTCTACGTGGGGCAGCCGGGGCCTGGGGCGGGGTGGGGGAGCCCTCAGCTCGGCCGCAGAGCAGCCGTGTGAGGGCAAGAGGTCTGTTCTCGGGGCTCGGTGGGTTTGTGTGGAACATCAGGGCTGCGCAGAGGACCGCCGAGGTGGTTAAGAGCATCTCCGTGAGGACATTTCCTGCCCCGCACCCAGGAAACAGTCCCGGGGCAGGCCCGGACGGGGACGCACGGGCAGCGTGGTGACCCCACACCTGCGGCTTTGAGCCTCGTGTCGCCCGACCCCTTCATTCACGGCCCACGTGGTCCCACGCAGGTGCCACTAGTGGGCGGCCAAGTGGCAGGGCCACACAGCTCTTAAAAATCATGTCTCTCTTTGAGGAACATACAACAGAAATCCTACACCTCTTCAATGTGCTCCATCCCGGGCGGTGCTGTGAGCCTCCATCATACCAACACCCCAACACCCCCTTTCCTGCTTTGTGAATTGGGGAGCGTCTGCTCTGTGGCACCTTGTCCTGCTTGCCTCCAACTGTCCGCCCTCAGCAGAGGTCACAGAAGGGCATCCTGAGGCCCAGATTCAGCCCGCGGATGGCATCGCTTGTTCTCCCTTCCCCAAAAGAATTTCCATATTTGAATGTAGTTCCCAGCATGTAACAACCAGAAGATTCCACAGGAAACCCAGATCTCCAGCTTCTTTTGAAAAAAATCACAGAGACAAACGTATGACCAGAGTGTCCCCAGGAAACAAGACCTGGCTCTGGCACCGGCGGGAGAAGAGGCTGGCCACTTCGCAGGAAGGACACCAGCCTTCTTCCCCCACTCTGGAGAGTCTCAGTTGAGTGCTGCCCCCTGGGAGCCCGTTGGAACCCGCACGGGACCCTCACGTTAACCAGGCACCTTGGGAAGGTCACCCCTGCCGCCCGCCCCCGCCTGCTTCACTCCTTCAAGTCGCCTGCCAGGCCCCTGGCCCTTTGGCTGCCTGCCCCTCCAGCCCGAAGTCAAACCTTTAAGAGTCCCAGTTCCTTAAGATACAATCCTTGTGAACATGAAAATCCTCTGAACCAGATTCACTCGTGGTTGAGATTTAAAGAAATTATGTGTCACCGGGCAAAAGGCTCTGAGCTCCCGCTTCGCTGGGAACACAGAGGACAGGGACTGGACACGCACAGGATCACAGGATCGAGGCTGGGCGAGAGGGCGACACCCAGAATCTGGGGTGGGGGGTGTGCTGGGGCTGGACGAAGGACTGAGCGCTTTCAAAAATCTTCCTGGAAGGAACTGGGAGGCAGGGTGAACTCTCTCCGCACGGGAGAGAGTGAAGGAGTGAACTCTGCTCCCGCCCAGCCTCGCCCCACAGGCTCTCGGCGGCATCGGAGCTCGCCATGGAGACGAGGGTTGGAGGCACCGCGGTGCAACTAACTTCAGGGCAGAAACCCACGCAAACAGCACGCTGCCCTGGACTTGACCGTCCTCGGAGGCCGGGTTGCCTTCCCGCTCTGAATGTCCTTCAGCCTGGTTGCCTCTGCTGTCCCGTAAGAACTGTGCCTTTCGGCCACGTGCAGGAGGCTCCATCACTGGTGGACACTTGCATTTGACTTTCCCCGTGATACACCAAAGTGCATTTGCCCCTCGGCCCCCGGTGGGTCCCGTTCAAAGCAGTCCTGAAGAAACTGTAGTCCAGAGAAGGTTTGTACGAGAATCCCAGCACCACTTAAGCAAACCCAGTGAGGACAACACCACCGGTGGCTCACGTCAGCGCACGAAGTGGAGCTCACTGTACCGGTCCGTGGCTGACCTCAGCAAGGGTCAAAGGCCATGAAATCAGCATGGTCAAGTCCGTGGTCAAGTCAGGACGGCATTACTTTGAGTTAAGTCATTCGCTCGAGGACTCGGCTACCGAACCGAAGGCAAGAGCAGGCGTCGGCAGGCAGAAGGAAGCTCCGAGATCCCCTGCCCTGGCTGGGTCATGCAGGGAGAGGGTTCCCTCCTGTGCTAAACACCTGGACAGGTAGGCTTTCTGCTCTGTGCTCCGAAAGCTCTCGCTAACTCCATTTCCCTAGAAATGGCAAGCACACGACGTCCCATGAAATTCCTCTGTCGGCCGAACTGTCTGATAAGAAATTTGGGGGTTGAATCGTTTCATCTCAAAGGGGAAAAAATAGGTCGGTTGCCCTTCCTCTCCATGACTCTCTTGTCCCTTCACTGGGTACTGCGGCCACATCTGACGGAAGGGGTCGAGTGTCGCGTGTGCTGTGGGCGGAGGAGATGGGACGTCTGGGGTCTCCCCTACAGCTGTCGGAGTAACTTCTCCCTCAAACGGTTAAAAATACCAATTCCACCGTTCTCACGCAGCTGTTCTGTCCGTATTTTCTCCTCTAGCCTTTGGCATGGATGTTTCTATGGTGGTAATGAGAGTTAGAGCGCAATTTCTCCTTCTGTTCTGTTCGCTTCCCCCACTGGCGGCACAGGCTTGCCTTGTAATGACGGGATAACAGTCCAGAATGCGAGCAGCCTGCTGTGTCGTTCCAGTTCTGCGCCTCCACCCACCCCCCCCAACCCCGTTTCTAGGCGCGTTGCAGTGGGTTGCTGCGGCTCCTCCCATCAGGGGGTAAAGTTTATTTTCTCACTCTCAGGGTCCAGGCTGATCTCGTGGCTTGCTTTGGACAAGAGAATGTAGCAGAAGGGACCGCGTGCACATTCTAAGCTTCTGCCTGTCTTCCTGGAACTCTGCTGTAGACCATCATCGTGAGAAAAATCCTCAGTTAGCCTGTGAGAGGCTGAGAAACCATGTGCGGGGGAGGAGGCGTGAGGACCACCCAACCCAGACATCAGCGCTAAACTTGCACGGACCAGGCGGCCCCGGGTTGACCAGTCAGCTGAGCACAATCGCTTGGAGGAGCCCAGCCGAGACCAGGACTTGTTGCTTTAATGTCGATTAAAGGTTAGTTGTTTTAAGTCGAAGAGTTTGGGGCTGGTTTGTTATGCAGCAACAGCTACCCGATATAGCCATAATTCTCTTGTCTGCCTTTCATTGTTTATGTGGGTGTTTCCAAGTTTTCTTTATTATAAAATAATGCTGTGATGAACTTTTTGGTACAAATTTTTTTTGTTTGTGTGTGTGTTTTTTGTTTGTTTGTTTTTAGAAATAACACTCCTCTCACCTTACACTACTCTCTTTTTTTAAAGATTTTATTTATTTATTTTTAGAGAGGGAAGGGAGGGAGAAAGAGAGAGAGTGAGAAACATCAATGTGTGGTTGCTGGGGGCCGTGACCTGCAACCCAGGCATGTGCCCTGACTAGGAATCGAACCTGCGACGTTTTGGTTCGCAGCCCGCACTCAATCCATTGAGCTATACCAGCCAGGGCTCTGGTACAAGTTTTTATTTGATTAGCAGGAAGCTCAATTAGAGTATGTGCCTTTACCTGGATTTTCCTCTAACTCTTCCCCTCCTGCCCCTGTCTTTCCTTCCATAGCTTACTTACTATTGTCACCTTTATTCTAATGGTTCTATTATGTTTATGGGCTTTTGCAAGTTCCTTTGAATACTCCTTGGTGATATTCCTGCCCTGTCCGGACGACCTAGGCCTCTGAGACAGTCTTACTAGTTCTGACCATTGGCCTTAATGAGAAAGCTAGAACTACAGCCACAGCGTGTTAGAGCCGCTGGCCCTCCGCTCTTTTGCAGAGAGTAAGTGGGGCTCGGGAAGTCTGCCTCCAGGGGCGTGTGCGGTGGAGCGGCGGCCGAGCCAGCTCCCTGGGGCCGAGGCCCTGGCTCAGGTCGCGTTGGGACTGTACACAGTACGTCCAGTATTGGAGCTAAGAGTGTGAACAGAAGTCCCTCAGTCATTCTACTCAGCACGAGGGTCTTCGTGATGAAGAGAAAGATACTAGAACGTTTTTTTTAGTTCTGTGTTAGAAGTCTTTTCTCCAAGCATTTTTTTGGCATCTGCCTCCTCTTCCCCAAATCTAAATAAAGTCCAAGAGGTTGGTGAACTAATTCTCAGTTTAAGTCTTGAATGTTAATGTTCTTGTGCATTTATATAATTTCACTTTCTTGAGTCACACCCACTAAAAAACCAAAAGCCAGGGCCATTTGGTTGACTCTCCCTACCCAGTCCTCCTGAGACTCCAGACTGAAATACTGACAAACCCCCCACGTTCCCACAGGGCTCACCTGCCACTCCATGTGCCTGGGGAGGGAGGCAGGAGCCCTAAGCATCTGCCCTCCCAGGCCCCGCCTCCCCGAGCAGCTGGAGTCTCAGGTTAGGGTCCTGTGCAACAAGGGTCAAGAGGGCTAAGGGACTCGTGTCCCTCCGCAGCAGCCGGTGTGATCCCCCACTCCTCTGGACCCTTCCTGTACAGCGTTGTCTCGTGAGACCCAGAGCCACCCTTTGCCCCCGGGGCCTGCTCGGAGCAGGCCAGCTCGGGTGACCCAGGCTGCAAAACTGCACCCTCTGCGGAGGAGTCGCCGCAGTATCATAAAACGACATCTCCCTCATGAAATGGCTCTTGTTTTTGTTTTTAATTGTTTTATTGTTGTTCAATCATGGTCGTCCCCATTTTCTCCCATTACTCACCCCTGCCCTGCCCACCCCCCACCCCCCACCTTCAGTCCACACCCCACCCCACTGCCTTTGTCCGTGGGTCCTTCATACGTGTTCCTGTGCGTGCCCCTTCCCCGGCTTTCCCCCGGCACCGCCTCCCCCCTCCCCCCTCCCTTCTGGTCACTGTCAGGTGGTTTTTATTTCCACGTCTCGGGTTCCATTGCTTCTTTGTTTTGTTGATTACTTTCACTTATTTAGTGATCATTGTTTGGTCTTTATTAAACACAGGAGATTAGCTGAATCAAGGAGCTCCGTAACAGCATTAATAATAAGCTGCACACTGAAAAGCTTTCAAATGTTTTTGAAACCTGTTTTTTTTTTCCCTTCAAGGAATGCCTCGTGAACTATCTCAAATCAGATAGATATGTAATATGTTTTATTTAAAGAAATTAAAATCTTACAATATTCTCTAAACCAACTGATGAACCCATTCCCGCTTTTTGCTGCCTACAAACTGGATTCTGCTGTAGATAAAGCTTCTGCTTCCTGGTCACCGCCTCTACCTTCCTTGACAGCCAGCAGGCATTTGCTGTCCCATCTAAACAAAGAATGTGCGCAGAGTCCGGGTCGGACAGACTCAGAGTCAGGCTCGTCCCGCAGCCGTGGGGACGCCCTGGGTACTGTCTCTGGTGTCAGAGGTCATCTAAAGTCCTGGCCGGGTCATTTGAGTAACAATGAAGAAATAATGAAGGTACTGTTAGTTCACATGTACTGATGTCCTTTTTAGATGGTCAATAAATCTGCCTCTTTCCTTCTCTTGAAAGACTTAATTATCCCTTTATTTACTAATTCACATGCAGTGAAAGACCTTATGTAGGTGTTCAGTTAGATTCATTCATTGATTGATACCTTCTGTGTGCTAAGCAGGGACTCACATGCTGTACACATGAAAAAAAAATCCCTATTATGCTCAAAGAAGTTTACATCCCAGAGGGTGGGGGACAGACGCTGGACAAATCTGTGCGTGTCGGGTGCTGCTGAGTGTCGTCAGGGAAAAAAGAGCAGGAAAGAGTGGAAGCGACAAAGCAGAAGGACAGGAGTAAACATGCATAAAGGTGTTCAGGGAGTAGACATACACATTTTCGTTTTAAAGTTTTGAAATTGTTGACGTTTTCTTGCCCCGTAGAATAAGTTCCGATCATCTCAACCCCCTTAGGGTAGCAGCCCTGACCCTCGGACCCGCCTTGCCGGAGACCCCATCGCTGAGTGCCCCTTCGCCAAGCGTTTGCACACCCTGAGAGGCGGAGCCTGGGGAAGGAAAAGCATCCGAAGAAGTAGGGGCCCGTGGCCCTGGAGGTCACCTTGTCCTTAACTTGTGAAACACCGTCGGCAGCCCGTCAGGAGGGGTTGACAGATGACTCGTCTGTGTCCCTGCCATTGTTGCTTCCTGTTATTGTTTTTCTCCCCACATTTTAGTTAATCATTTGCTGGAGGTAGGCTCCACACTCCTGTGCTTCAGTAGGCCTTTTCCTTCCGAGTCATGGGGCCCAAACCCTTGGTGAAAATGGAGGTGTGTGTGTGGGTGGGAGTCTCTGTTCGTGATATAAAACCCCCTCCTTTGTCGGGGGGCCACGTGCAGGGGTGCAGAATGAATGGATCCAGTTTGTAAAACAAAGTCATAAATACCCAAGGTTGGGGGACAGGAGGTGCCACTCTTCCCACAAGCAAATTCACCCTGAAGGCTCTATCCCTGCCCAAAAATTGCTCCGAAATTTAAAATAGTTCCACATGAGCCATTGACCGGAACCCGCCTCATTACATAACGAGAGAGGACAGAACCCGGGATTTAAGGATAAACACCAGCAGGGCAGACTCCGGCCTCCACCAGGATTTCAGAAAGCCAAATCTGCTTACAGAGTACCTTCTAACCCAACGTCTCTGAGCAGAAGGCCACTCCTACGATCTGCAGACTTGAAGGGGGTAGCTTAATAAAACTCTTCTATTTCTTAGCCGGGGCAAGGCACCATCAAACAGCAAGAGGTCTTCAGCTAGTCATGCTTGCTTTGCTTTCCCCCTGCCCCCCTTAAAATTCCTCCTTCTTTGCTTTACAGCAAACAGGAGGCACTCCGGATCTGACATGCTCTGTCTGGATCGGGAAGCCTTCTTGCTACTCTGTGTATCCAAAGCCTCTTTGTCCCCAAACACAGAAAGAGGTGCGTCGCACCACCACCGACAGCATGTTCCTGACCAGGCTCCAGCTGAAACTTCAGACCAGACTGGAGTCTTCCAAAGCCAGGCCGAGCCTAGGCTGGGCTCTGCTTGCAGAAACGACTAATGACTTGCTGGTCACCACCCAAGAAAGAGAAGCCTGCAGACACTTGGAGCAGGGCTTTGGGAATCAAAAGGAAGTTTCTTCTCTCAGCTCATCTCTTCACCATCTGGCTAGCTTTTACAATCCTCATTGCGCCGTGATGAATTTTTTTATGCCACAGCTTTCTGCTAATTAATTGTAATTACCAAGCACAGGAAATTTCAGCGTGATCAGATCATGTTTACGCAGAATGGCAAAGCCGGCGAACTGTTCTTTAAGAGACTTTCTTGGGAACATCGACATTTAAAAGCTGGGTGGGACCTCTGAAACCCGCTGGCTCGCACCGCTCGCTAATAGATGAGGACATCTGTGTGAACCAGCCCAGGTCTGGCAGCTAGTGAGGGGCAGAGAAAGGGCAAAAACACCAGCTTCCACATTCCTGGGGCCGTGATGTTTGCAGTACACACCGCTGCCTCTAGAACCGGTTCAAACCAGAAGCAGCCACTCCTCTCGGTTTGGGCCGTTTCATCAAATCCAGGATGGAATCTGGTCAAAATGTCTCATTGCATCATCACCTTGCTTTGAAACTCTGAGTTCTTTGGACATAGAGTTCTTGTCTATGTGCTGTGAACCAATAAATTCTCTGGAAAAAAAAATCAGTCCACACACTTGGCTGGTGTCTTAGAGGGAAAAAAAAATCTGGGTGATTGAATTTTTTAAATTGAACTAAGCAGCTGTTTTGAGGTTTGTTTTTTGTTTTTTTTGTTTTTGTTTTTTTGCATCCTGTGGACATTCATATTTGGTCTAGACAAACTTGCCCAAAGCTGAGATGGGGACATCAAATTGCATGGAAATTGTGCAGCGGCTCTGTCATTGCTGCAGGTGACATTCCAGTGACCAGGGGGACAGGGACAGGGAGTCTCCACATCTCAGTCCAGTAGCTTTTCATCGATCAAGCCACCTTTTCACTTTGGAACTGCAGAATTGTTTCTCAAGTGGAATATTTATGTGTGATCTCCACGCATGCAACAGATATGTTTAAATGCTCATGTTTAAAATACATTTCCCCTGTCTAAAAGTAATAAAGGAGAAAAACAGAACCGCCTCCACGAGCCAGCGTCTGGAGGTGTGAGTCGGAGGACCCCACGCTCGTGTTGGAGCGGCATCAACGAGGAATGCATTTCTGTGTGTGGATTTGTTGGCGCTGAAAGTTACTCCTCTGGCGTATCAAGTGCCCAGCGGGTAACAGAAAACGCAGGTCCGGCTGCCTGCCCCCACGGAAGCTGAACTCGTGAGGCAGGTGCTGGTGCAAAAGGAGAGAGATTTATTCACGTGCTGTGACCTCTGGGAACGGCGGACTCTAGTCTCAGATACCATCCCCCCTTCTGGTTAAGCTGCGGTTCTTACTGGGATAGGGAGAGAAAGGCTTTTTTTTTTTTTTTTCTGTCCAACTTACCTTATGCTGCTAGCTTTCGGCAGGCTCAGGCCCTGTCCATTCATCTTTCCAGCTTTTGGTATGCTCAGTGTAAGAAACGGTCCCCCACCATGCTCTGCCTGGTGTGGCTCTGTTGGTTGGAGCGTCGTCCTGTAACTGAAGGAATGCAATTTGATTCCCTGTCAGGGCACATACCTAGGTTGCAGGTTCGATTCCTGGTCCGAGCATGGACACGTGTGACCCCCAGTCTGGATGCACAGTCCTTGGTCTGGGCCCGGACCCCCAGTCTGTGCATGGATGGGGGCAACCCATCAGTGCTTCTCTCCCCCTTCCTTTCTCTCTCTAAAAGCAGTGAAAAAAAATGTCCTCGGGTGAGGATAAAAAAGAAAAAAGAAACCCCCTGCACCATCTTGACTAACGGGAGAGACTCCCTGGTGCTCCGACTCACTGTCTGTGGTAAAAATGCTACCCTCGTAATCTCCCAAGGGTAGATGAGTGGAGGTCTTGTCTTGTGTAGTTTCTTCCTGCTGCTTAGCAACATCGTTTTGCCTGTCCCCCAGGTCTGGAGAACCTCGCTGTCTCCTGAAGGAAGAAGGGGGTCAAGCGTGGAGGGAAGCCTTTACGGGAGGGAGAAGGATTGCTGTCTTTGGAAGGCGGCTCATGTGGGGTCCAGAGCAAGGGCCCCGCTGGACAAGCGAAGCTCGTGGACTGCTGCAAATTTCAACGCCTGGGCGGCGCTGCACATGGGGCTCCCCCGTGAGACCTACTGCGTAGACAAGCAGTCACGTGTGCAGTGAGGGGAAGTCTCAGCGTGCAGGGGGAGCTGGAGTGAAATCAGAAACCGGAGAGACTAAAGGATCCCTACAATCGAATCCTCACTCAGTGAGGCTTTGGATGGCCTACCCACCATCGGGGTAAATGTACTGAGGAAGCTACTGACAGAGACATGCAAGATAAAATAAAAGGAGACATTGTCACTGAGCTGTGAGAGGCATTGTCCCTTTCCAAAAGAGAAATGTTAACTCTCTTCCAGGAGGGCAAGTCCAGTTTCTTTTGCGGTGCCGACAGCAGCAGCAGCGAGATCCAGGTCTGCCCAGGCTGGTACTGGCTTTGTCTGCGTGGTGGTGGACCCGAGGCTTGACTCCCCGGAGAAAGGGTTGTCCACAGGACAGAGCAGGGACTGGCCCATCGCCGGGCCAGCTGCTGTGCAGGCCTGGAGTCTTCCAGGCCGTGCGTAAGACTCGGTCTCCCAGCTGGCACGGGTGTAAAGTCTCATCAGACAGGGGGACAGACCTGCAATGAGCCAACTCGTGCAGAGTTGTTAGTGTTTGCCCTAAATGTTGTACATATTGTTTGATTTTTTTTTAATTCATTTTCTAAATCTGAAGGAGGTGTCTCTAAAACAGAAACGTGGAAGGGTCTCCCATGAGCTATTTGAAAAGGACTGAGTGGAAGACTGCATTGGGGTGCTACCCTAATCAGGAGCAAGAAAATGGGGAGCACCTGGCCCCATTTCAAATGTAGTTCCTGGCATATTTTTGCCAGGGTCTCCCTTACTGTGTGTTTCATGTTCTCAGTCTTGCCTGTAGGTCAGGGTGTCCAAGATGCATGTGGTTTCCGTTGAATCTGTAGTTCCTGTCCTATCATCTGGGAGGTCTCTGAAGGGGACGGTGGCCCACTGTGGCTTTGAATGCTGTAAGGAAGTCCAAACGCAGGGGTTGTGGTTTGAGTAGAAGTTTTGCTACCTCGGTTGTCTTCTCACTTCTAGCGGGGTAGGCTCGTACCCATCCAGGAAAGGTGTCTACAAAACCTAATAAAAATTTAAAGTTTTCTATGGTCTTTAGGTATCTGTGTTAAGTCAACTTGCCAGTCTTTGAATGGGCATATCCCTTTATATTGTACCCCCTTTTCTGTTGAGGGACCATGTCTCTTAGGATTGTTTTGGGGGCACGTCTGACAGGCTTGGATAATCTTCTGAATGGCCCCTTGTAAGTACGGGCCCCTCACATGAAGTGAGCTTCTCTGCTTCCTGTGAGATGTCCCAGGCAGCTGCTATTGCCCAGACACGTGCCGGCCATCCTTTCTTCATGCGATCCGGTTTCTCTGAGGGGCAGGCTATGGGCTGAAAGGTACTTTCCAGGGTCTGGGTTAGTACCCCAAGTTTAATTTCTTGCCTTTCATGAATGCATAATTTGAAAGGTTTCCGTAAATAGGGAAATCCTAGTGCAGGGTCCAAACCCAGCTTTTCCTTCCAGGTGTCAAATGCGGTCACACGGTCTCTTTTCCATTAAAGGGGTTCAGAGTCTAACACTTTCAAAGAATTATCCAATGGTTTTGCAATACGGCCAAAGTTTGGAATCCGATTTCGTCAAACTCCTGTAACTTCTAAGAATCCAGTTCTCTGGGATTTGGATTGTAGCAATGGCCTGTTTTCGATCAGCCATCAAGATCCCAGTGTCCCATTTCAGCTGGAATCCCAGATACGCTACCTCCTGTTTGTACATCTGGGCCCTGAGAGGCGATAGTTTATATCCTCTTTTTGCCAAATGATTCAGGATCGCAATGGTGTTAAGCAAACAGTCTTTGTATGTATTGCTAGGTATTTGTAAGCTGTCTACATATTGTAGAAGAATTCTTGATTTCAATTTAATGTCCCTTAAATCTTTTACTGGTGTTTCCCCAGACGTGGTCAGGGAATTCTTAAATCCTTGTGGAAACACACAGTCCAACGGTATTGGAGTGTGGCTTTAGTTACTGGGTCCTGCCATTCAAAGGGAAATAATAGTTGAGCCTATGCATCTATCGGGATGCAGAAATAAGAATCCTTCAAGTCTAGGACTAAAAACCATTTGCTATCCCAGGCACCGAGGCCAACAAAGTTTAAGGGTTGGGAACCGTAGGATAAATGTCCTGAACAATGTCATTTATGGCTCTAAGGTCCTGTATAAATCGATACTCATCAGAGTGAGGCTTTTTGACTGGCAAAATGCTAGTGTTAGAGGGAAACGGGTGTGGCCAAATTAATCCTGATTTTAAGAAGTTTGGCAATACTGGCTGAATTCCCTTGAAAGCTTCCTTTCTAAGGGATTATGGCTTCTTCCGGGAGATCTGCACCTTTTCTTTTAGGTTAATTTTCATGGGTTGTGTGTTAACCTCCCTACCCGGGGTTCTGTCAGCCCAAATGGCTCATTCGACTTGTTCGCAGAACTCAGGTGAGAACACTTTACCTCTGGGTTCTTCCAGAAAAGTCGGGAATACCCGGAGCTGGAGAGCATGTCCTGGTGGGACTCCTACACATATTTGCTGCTTCTCAGGGGAAAGGTTATTTGTGCAGGCAATTTGCCAAGTAAATCTCAGCCCAACAATGGAATGGGGGAGTCTGACGTGTAGAGAAAATTATGCATAAGTTTTCGATTCCAAAGCCGGCATTCCGGAGGTCGAAGGAACGCCTGTTTTGGCCACTGTCTGCTCACTTCAGGAACTGACACCGCGGCTGAACTTTTCTTGGTTGGTTTTCCATTTGGCCCTGAGCGCGTAGATCCTGTGTCTATGAGGAAGTCAGTTAGCTTGTCCCCCACTGTCCCCGTACTTGGGCCTCCTGTGGGAAAGCACTGATAGGTCAGGAGGTATCTAGGGGGGACCCTGGGCCTCCTCATTTGTCCTCGGATTCATCATTCCCTCCTAACGTTTTCCAGTGAGGGTTTCTATCCTTTTTTATTTTTCTTCTTCAGTCCCAGGCAGTCCTCCCTCCACTGGCCTTCCCCTTTGCAACAGGCGCATGGAGTGGTGCCTCCTGGCTCTTTCCCTTTGCCTTTTGGGCCCTGCCTCTCCTTCTGGTCTCCCCACACTCTTTCTAAGAAAGCAGCGGCTTGCTTTAATTTCCTCGCTCCCCAGGCACGGTGAACCTTCAAGGCTGGGCCCTCCAGCTGGAAGGGATGGGTTGCCGGTGCCCCTTCCAAACGCTGGAGCTTCCTTCTGATGGCTGGGGAGCGCTTGGACCAATAAAAGTCATGGGTACCAGGCAGACGTTTTTCTGGTGCTTGTGGGTCAGCATCAGCGTGCCTTAGATAGGCCTGATGGGTCCTTTCTAAAGGTTTAGAAGGACCTTTGTTTGGATTCTGTCGAGTGGCACATAGCACGCTCCGGCTCTTTTGTTTACGCAGCCCTCGCGTCAGCCCTTCCGATACGCACCTTTTGCAATGCTCTGGGAAAACTAG